GTAGAAGTGCCTGTTTTAGAAGGACAGACCTGATTTATACTCGGATAGGAGACTGCTAGGATATCCCAGGGCTGTAGGCCAGATTTGGAAGATGAAAAACTTCCCAGAAAAAGGCAAACCAGCTTGACACTCCTGCCCTACATGTTTGTGTAGCCACCAGAAATCAAACCATGCTTGAGAGAGACTTTTCCTTAGATAACAGGAAAATGTTGGATCCCCTTTAGTTAACTCATTTATGAGGGACAGTAGATTGCTTAGGCTTGGGTTGCTGAACAATTGCCCTAGTATGGGAAGAAATGTCCACGGGGCTGCAGTGAGAACAAGTGAGAAACGTCAAAAGAACAAATCAGTATTATTTGATTGATACATAAAATCAGCCAGGTTTATGTGTGGATAGGTTATACTGCCTTGGAATTCTGGAAGTCAACTGAGTTTTTGAAATTATCTTCCGTACCATTTCTAACTGTGATTTGCAAGCGTTAAACCTGAGCTCTGAAATACATTCAGAGGCTTTATTCAAGTGCTCTACCTCTCATTTGTAACACCAATCAGGCTGTCTCCATTCACTTCTAAGATCTGATCTCCTGGTTGCAGACGACCTAGAGAGAAGGAAGAAGGAGAAGGGAAAAGAAAAGGGTCATATAGAAGTGGTGGTATCATGCACATATTTTGATGCACAAGCATTCATTGTGAATATTTTGGACCATCATAACTACCCTGCTGACAATGAAGATGATGGAGGAAATCATCAATTTTAGGGGTGCACAGTCTGGAACCCCTGAAGGCTTTAAGTGTGAGCTACCCAAATGTCTCTGAAGATTGTCCCTAATTTTGGTCAATTTTTAATATGACCAAAGGGGGAAAGAATACAATCCATGAGGAATAATTAAATTCATGTGTCACATAAATTCATTTTTGGATGCTACAGACATAGGCAGGAAGGAGAGTAATGATTCACCCTCATAAGGATCTCTTTATTGTTCAACAGTTACAAAACAGAACCTTTGCTTTCCAGATCTTCCTTCCGCAAATACTTTTTTTTTTTTGTATTTTTTGGTATTTTAACATTTTAATTTTAACTAAATGAACTTTAGCCTTCCTCTAGATCAGGATACAAAACTAGAGTTATTCCAAGATACCAGTTTGGGAGGGGGAGAAAAGCATCCAACTACGAGAAGTCCAAATTTAACCTGGTGAAACATTTTTGGCAAATGATTCTTGTTCGTTTTTCAAAGAAGGAATATGCTCAGAAAGTGTTTCACAAGAGCCAACTCTGATCAATTTTAGAGCACTTTTACACCCATCAGAAGCAACGTTTTGGACTCTCTTATCCAAGATTGCCTTCCAATAAACTCTGTGAGGAGCTGTCCTCGGTCCTGACAACACATTACACTACCTGGACATATCTGCTCCATTTTGCCAATATGACACTGACCAGGGACCCAAAATACATTTTTCAGATATGCCCAATGTATTAGGTTAATTTTTACTGCACCTTTTGCAGACAAAGAAGAGGCTCCAGGGAAGCTTCTCTGATTCCAGTTCCCACTCATCCATTTCACAATTGTTTTAATGATGAAGATCTGGAGACCTTTCAAGCGCTCAACACAACATAGTATCTCTAACTGGGAGATTTCAAGCCACAGATGTAAGTGATAAAAACCCACCATCAATGTAAGCAACTCCTCCCGGTAGGATTCTCTTGACATAAACTCCATATTCCTCTCCAGTGAATTCTTTAATGCCACCAATCACTTTAATACCTACCAATAAAAAAGAAATACAGTGTCGTCACAAGTGACGCCCCCCTGCTTCACAAGGCAAGCCTAGGTACTCGTCTGAAAATCATCGTTTCTCCCTCACTGAAGCAGGGGACCTATAAGTTAGTGAGGGCACCAGAGTGGGTGAAAATACATTCAAATAAATATGCATTTATCCCATTGAGAGTCAGCTAAGCACAGTAGAACGCATTCAGGGCATCTCTGTTTATTTCAGAAATAGAACAATTCGCTCCATGTGTATTGATACAGCTTCTTTCATGATTTGGTCATGTTCCTTTGGGGATCCTTTTTGGTTTCACATCATTACATATGTTAATACAACATTGGGGGAAAACATAGTTGCTAACAATGTCCACGTGATGCTGAGCTACACTTCCAAAATAAGGAATTTGATACTTTATGAAGAACTGTGGGTCTGTTGAGTGTGGGAACTGGCTGAGAGAGAATTATCCCAGTAGATGGAATGAAAATCTATATCTACATCCATGTCTAAGAATTTAACCCTCATAGCCAAAAATGCAAAGGATCTTCAAGCCCTAGTACTAAAAGTCAAAGAGCACAGTGAAAAAATGGGAGTAAAATTAACTATAAAGAAGACCAAACTAATGGCCACAGGTGGAACAACCAGCCTTAGAATTGCCAGGGAAGTTATTGAAATGGTGGATAGTTTCTGCCTTTTAGGATCAACCATCAACAGTAAAGGAATAAGCAGTCAAGAAATACGTCATAGACTAGACCTTGTAGAGCAGCCATGAAGGCCTCAGAAAAGATATTCAGATGTCAGGAGGTGTCTATAGCTACAAAAATCAGAATCATGTAAACCATGGGATTCCCTGTGACTCTCTATGGAACCAAAAGTTGGACTTTAAAGAAGCAGGATGGGAAGAGTATTGACATCTTTGAACTTTGGTGTTTGAGACTCCTGAGAAGACCATGGACAGCCAAGAAAACAAACTGATGGATCATTGAACAAATCAACCCAGAGTTCTCACTCAAGGCACAAATGAGCCAGCTCAATATATCATGGACAGCCAAGAAAACAAACTGATGGATCATTGAACAAATCAACCCAGAGTTCTCACTCAAGGCACAAATGAGCCAGCTCAATATATCATGGACAGCCAAGAAAACAAACTGATGGATCATTGAACAAATCAACCCAGAGTTCTCACTCAAGGCACAAATGAGCCAGCTCAATATATCCTCCTTTGGACACATAATGCAAAGACCCAACTCTCTGGAGAAGGCTCTGATGCTGGGAAAGTCAGAAGGAAAGAGAGGAAGAGGACAACCAGCAGTGATGTGGATGGACTCAGTTACAATGGCAATGGGTGCATCCTTGGGAGACTTGAAAGAACAGGTTAGAGATAGATCATCATGGAGAAAATCCATCTCCATGGTTGCTAAGAGCCAAAAACGACTTGATGGCACTTAATCAAATCGAATTTAGCACTCTTTGGCACTGCACTGGACCAGATTCATCTGAAGTGAATTCTTTAGGTTCTCCTTTACTATATTCAACTATGTAGCTGATACAATGGATACAAATTCCCCCCAGTTCCTTTTTCTTTTACGAATGGAGCTTTCAACTTAAAAAAAAAAAGTGACTTTTTTTTTGAAATGGTTGGCCCCAAAAAAGATATTTTTGCTTTAGTCTATTTTATTTGGAAGATTCATAATGGACACGCCACTATTAATAGTCCAATCATCCTTTGAAATTCACAAGTCTTTGAATTTTGCAATGAAATTCCTTGTGTCAGTTACATTTATTAGGAAAAGGTCAGCCCATAATGCATATGAGAGCAAAAATAAATGTACAAAACTTACAGTAACTATCAACATAACAAAAATTACAGATGCTAGAAGAAAAGCCCCCCACAAAACTACTCATGAATTTTCATGCCCTTTCTATTGTTTAAGACACGTTCAGAATAATACAGAACAAACTTATTTTAAGACTAAAAAACAGGGAAATGGAAAGAAACTGAATTTGCCGTTGGCACTCAGGGGACAAGCAAAGTGTAATGACATCAGAACTCAAAACTACTTTTCTTCTGAGCCAACCACCATTGGCCCAGGAACTTTTTTTATATCCATGCTTATCCAGGAGGATCTTGGTGGACCGAGTCAACTAAAAGTTTCAAATGAATTCATTCAAAAGCTGTCACCTCTTGTTCACCCCATAATCCCCAAAGGGAAAGCTATTTTTAATTGCAGCTTTAGTGAGAAAATAGAAAAAGCTTATAGGGTTCTCCAAAGTGAGAGAAATCTCTGATACTCTTGCCTCTATTTACATAATCCTATTAGAAGGTGAGGCAGGTGGCTGTATTTTATCAGTAAACACAGATCCTCCTGGGGACAAACACAACAGAAAAAAATGGGAATGTTGTCTGGCCTGTATATAATAAAGAGACAGTTCTCCTTCTAAAGAACTGGTCAAGTGTCTCATCTACAAGGCTCTCTGGGGTTGACATGGAAAAAGGAGGACTAGGTTTCAGGAGAAATTGATTATTGAGGATAGTGATTTTTCCTCTGATCTTTAATCTCAACATTTATTCTAGTTTATCTGGGTTTCTTTTACATGGGAGGTTTTTCAAAACTATCAGCAGTGCTCTGAAAGAGAGCAAGAAAGCAAGACCAAATTCCAGATGGGGTGGCTCTTCCCTAAATCTTCCCTTTTAAATTATACATTTAAAGCTTAATCAAAAGCTGAAATGTGACAAGGAATTCTCTCTATTTATGGGGGAAAGAAAAAAAAAAGTATGCCTGAAAAAAAGGGGAATGGTTGAATGGCTATCTGGCATCCTAGACCCAATACTTCTGCTTTCTTAAATGCATTACATTCAAAGTGGAAGGAATATTGGATCAACACACAGGTTCTTCTTCATTGGAAGCTGGGAAAGAAAGCTTTTCTCCTGTCATCAGCTGTGCATTTGGAAGCATTATATGTATGGTGCAACTCAGGGCCCAGCTGCTGAAATGCACAGGGACATCATAATCCTTGATCCAGCTCCCCGCCCACCATAATTCATTCATATCCGCTTAATATCACTTGCTCTGGGCTAACCTCTTATTAGAGAGAGCTCTGGCAAAATATCGCGCAGATCCATTGGCAATGAAGAAAACATGAGCTGATAAGTTATTCTGTGCAACTAAAAGCAGGAGGACAGAATTAGATACTACTAGAGGAGCTATTAATGTCTAAGCCAAGCCCTTCCCAGCCTCCACGTGGCTAAAATTAGGCCCACATCTCCTTGTTCTGACCTTTAGCCATTGCAGTGCAGCACTGAGATCGGGGAGCCAACATGGTCTACCAGAGGGAAACAGGAAAGGGAGCACTGGGGGCTCTAATGAGTCACTTTCCCATGAAGAGACAGGTCCAGAGTTGTGATACCCATGTTACTTTTTCCAAAATAAATCTAAGCCACTCTACTCAACACCACCACCCAGTTTGGTCCAAATTAATGTTCAGCTGAAACCTGTCTTGCCACTTCTCTGGTTTCTCCTCCCTGTCCCCCAAGTTCTGTCATCATAACTTTATTCTCAGAGTGTTTGGGACTTGTTTTTTCAAGTTTTCTTGGCAGTGTTTTTGAACTGACTTTATCACTAGAGGGGGCAAAGTTTATTGTGTTACTACAGACAGTCCCCTACTTATGAACTTTCAAGTTGTGAACTTTCGCCAATACGGACAAGATGGACCCGGAAGTTGGAAGAAGGCAGGAAAGGGTTAGTTTCCAGCACTCTGCAAACTATTCCTTTCTCGCTTCCTCCTGCCTTCTGGGAGATTGGAGATTTGCATTGGAGCTAGAGTTCCTGGAAAGGTTTAGTTTACCAGGTGAGGCAGGAGAAGCAGTGGTGGCTCCCTGGGCGAAGGGATGAGCTGGTGGGGCACGGTGTACTCTGTTGCCAGGTGAGGCAGAAGAGGGGGCAGTGGTTCCCATACAGCTGCCCCCTTTGCCCAGGGAGCCACTGTTGCCTCTCCTGCCTCACCCGGCAACAGACCGCATTGTGCCCCACTGGCTCTTCCCACTGTGCTCTTTACAGCTGCATGCTATGGCTCTTCGCATTGGCAGCAGGGCTCCTCTGCCCACACCACTGCCCTGCCTCCTGCCTCCTCTTTTTTTCACTTTTTACAGAACTTTTTACTTGGTTGGACTTATGAACAGCCTCTTGGAATGTAACCTGTTGGTCTGTAGTTACTTGAGGGATCACCTCTCCCCAGTTACATCTACCTATCCCATCAGGTCTGGCAGAAGGAGCATGTTGTGAGTCCCATCAGCCAGTGAGAGTCATCTGGTGATATCCAGGAAGAGAGACTTTTCTGCCATGGCCACCCACCCTGTGGAACATCATCCCCCTGGAGGTCAGATTGGCCCTGACTCTGCTGGCTTTTCTCACGGCCCTTGAAGACATGGCTTTGCCAGTGGGTATGGGGACCCGGGAATGCGGCAAAGCAATCTTCAGAAAGGAATTGCATGACCAAGAGTGGACATTCACAACCGCCCCTTGGCCTCCTTGTTACCAAGTAACTGCAAGAACACCCCAGTCCGACCACAAGAATTCACCAAAACTCTCTTCTTCTTTGAAAGAATTGCTAAAGCAAACGATCTGTCATCAAACTGAATGAGAATTGG